CTTGTTTGTCATTTGAGTGGACAATATTCAATCGGGCCAACGGGCCGCCATTAAAGCTAGTGAGAAACAATGGTGATCTCTCACATGAGATGAGAGTCCGTACACAAATCATTTTGAACAAGCAATAGGAGCATTCAACATCAAAAGATAAGATTCGAGGAGGAGGAACTTGAAGGAACTTCGAGGAGTTAAGGTGCTTCGAGGAGGCCATGAATGGGAGCAGCACAAGCAAGGTAATGGGGATCGAAAACAGGTATCTAAGCCTCGAGTGTTTGTTGACAGATATGGCCTTTGTTGATAGATGGGTTCTAAACAGAACATAAAAATAATCTAAATAGAACATAAAAGTCATCTAAATAGATCAGAGCTACTTCGTTCAGTTCTCGCGGCAGATTTAGTAGGGTAAGCCCTTACTAGACCAAGTATTGTAGCACTCTCCTGTATGTTCAGTTTCCAATAGGGATAGATTCAGAAAGGGTTATATCAGCGCTTAAGCTCCCTAAGGTGCTGGAGCACATAAAAGAACTGATGGAAAGGTTTCGTGGCCGTAAGGTTTAACCTGAATTTAAACTACATATGCTGTTTTACTTGCTTAAGAGAAAGCAACCTACTGATTAAAAGTCACTGGCTTAGTTTCTTCATTCTTGAATGTAAACGTCCTACTCTTTAATAGGTGATGCTAGGGGTTGATCGTCTCGATATGATTAAGGGAATACCACAGAAGATACTTGCATTTGAGAAGTTTCTTGAGGAGAACCCTCTATGGCGTGATAAAGCACTTCAGACTGGAGGTAAATTACGCATTTCCAATGTAACTGTTACAATTTTAGGCGGCTATACTGGTTAGACACATGAATGGGTTTCCATATATTTGGCTTCAACATCTGATTCAAAGATCTACCTGTTCTTATGCTGACAGTTTATTGAGGAGCAACCCGTGAGGCATTAGCTAGCCAGGTCTGCTTCACACACACACAAACGTTTAAAAAAAAAAAACAACAGAACAAAGAAGAAAAGCCAGGTATGTCCTTTCAATTGCAAACAGTTCATGTCCCGCAATGTACCCTTCGTCCAACAAAAATATGAAGTGTCGATGGAGTTTACTTTTGTGAAATATACCAAGATAAAAGATTTTGTCGCCTAAAATCAATAATAAAATTGTAAACTCAATAAAAAGTGGTCATTGCTTTCCATGGGCGTTTCAACTTCTTGCTCTGGAAGTGCTAGTGAACTTCATTTGTTTTTATTGATGCTTCTGTTCTTTGCACCACGGGTTCTAGTCTGATGTTGTTTCTGTAGCAGACCAAAATAAGAAAAAAATAATATTAAACATGTACATTCCAACACAAAGAATCATCTAATCTTGCTGGTTAAATCATTAGTGTGATTGGAAAATTACCAGTTCATGTTCATCGCTTGGACGATCATCATGCCGACTAGTACTCCCAGCACTATGTCCTGTATGCTTCTTAGCTCCCTTCTCTTGTTGACTAGTATTGCTCCTAGTACGTGCCCCGATCTGTTTGAGGGCAAATAAGCTCTTAAGCTAATAGCCATTTCTAACAAATGGATAATTTAGTGAATAAACAAATGATATATAACCTTCTGTTGTGGCTGACTTTTTCCTATGGGCTCTCCAGTAGTATTATGTCTGCTCGTTCGTTGCTTCTGGTAAAAACAAAATAACAACTGTAGGTTATTAACTAATAACTATATCAAGAACACCTAACCAGAGATGCTAATTACCTTTGGGGGCTGACCACCTTGGTCATCATCTCCATCATCGTCGTCTCCATCTTCTCCGTCGTCCCCATCATCGTCCACATCATCATCCCCATCATCGTCCATGTCATCGTCGTCATCCTCCTCATCAGATTGAGATTCTACCACGTCGGCTGGGGGGTTTTTACAAGTGCTCCTATAATGCCCATCCCTTAGCCCGCAGTTCCCACACTTTCTTCTTTTTTTCTTAAGTTGTTTTGTCCCTTTTCCTTTCCTACAACCCTTAAACCTCACTTGATTTGGGTTCAATACATCTTTGAACTGGTCTGGTATGACAATCATTTCTCTCTCGGCGGGGGTTTTCTTTACCATCTCCAACTTGTTACACGCTGCTGTCAACTCATCTTGAGCCATTCGATAAGAGAGAGGAGTGTCTGCTCCTAATAAGCAGAATCGTTGAGACATGAACTGTAGCGACCCGTACCTAATGCTGAAACTGCTGTCATCCCCCAATGTACTTGGTTCTGGCAGAGTTTGTAGGGACTTTGGGTTCTTCGAGCAACGTCTGAGTACCAGTTTTTCAGGAATAGTCTTCACTTTTTCTTCTTTGAGAACAAAAAGCATATGAACGCAGGGTATCCCAATACTCTTAAACTTTTGACAACTGCACTCCATATCGCTTGTTTCAATGTTGTATTTCACCTCTATGACCTTCTCTTTGTTGAACATGGTAACGGTGTAAGTGTGTAGGTTCTCCTCTTCAGTTTGGTTACCCTTAATGACTCCAATAACCTCCTCCAACTCATTTTTGAACAAAAGAAATGCAGCCTTTGAGAAAAGCTTTGCTGCACTTTGCTCGAGGGGCTTTAGGATTGAATTCTTTATAGGAACTACACCATAATTAGACTCAAAATCTAATCTAATCTCTGTCTCTCTCATGTCTCTGAGCCACCGGTCGTATTGAGTGAAAAAGTCAAGCAAACAGAACCTCTGATTTTCATACCTTGCAACAACCGCATTTATGCTTTCACATCTTGATGTGGTTGTCAACCCAGCAAAGAAATGTGAGCGCAAGTATGTGTCCGCCCATTCGTTGCGTCTCCCAAATAGTTTTTTCGAAACCCATTGGTTGTTCTGGAGTTCGCATTCCTCTACCAATGCATTCCATTTCTCCTCAAATTCTTCTGGCTCGTACTCAGCAGTTACTAACTTCTTCCACCGGGGTTCAAAGTCGGGTCGATTCTTCACCCTGCCAGTGATATTCTTGGACAAATGCCATGCACATAGCCGATGTGTTGCATTTGGAAACACATTAGCAATAGCTTTCCTCATTGCTTTATCCCCATCCGTGACAACTGTACGTAGCGGAATGTCCCCCAACATTTCCTTCACTATCTTCAACGCCCAAATATAGGTTTCGTCAGTCTCATTGGGCAACAGTGCACTCCCGAATAAGCAAGTTTTGAAGTGATGGTTGATACCTACAATGTCAAACAAAAACTCGGAAAAATCAGAATCTTTTGAACTAGCAGGAGAAAAGCTAAAACTGTGTAGGAATATGTAAATAATGGTAGAGTTCATATAATCAGAAACTTGCTGTTTTCTAGATGCCATAATGTGTATTCAAACAACAAAGCAAAGCATAATACTTAGAGGGCATACTAGGATGGCGTACCTGTAAAAATGACCAGTGGCATATTGTAAATGTTTTTTTGGTACGTTGTGTCAAATGCGAGCAACTCTCCAAAACACGAAATGTCGGCTCTGCAAATGCTGTCAGCCCAAAATAAAAAATGGAGCCTTTTTTCCTCATCAGTAGTGTATCGGAGGAGGAAGTGTGGGTCTGTGCTTTTCTTTGATTCTAGATAGGCCAGTGCAGTTGCTGCATCACCCTCGCTGATTCTCTCAGCGCGGTCTTTGGTGCTGAAATTTAACCCATCTTTAACTGTATACCCAAGTTTGTCATGCCCTCCAGCACAATGCACAGCAAGCTTAATGGCCTGAGAAGGTTTCATTCCGGCATCCTTTTTAAATCGGAGGTCTGCCTTGTCTGCTTCTGTTAATCCTCGATGCGACCTCAAGTAATGTACCTGATTCTGCCTAACTGGGTCATGAGTGTGCTGTGAGTTAAATATATCAGCCACCCACTTATTGCTTGTCTTGTTCAAGCTCACACGAAACATAGCCATGCACTGAAATCTGATCTCCATAGGCGACTCCCTCTTTTGTGCACCTTTATGCTTTTCTCGAACTCCCTGACAAGAACACACGAAGGCTGCACTTGTTACCTCTCCCTTGACGTTCTTAACCTTCCTTGAGCGACGGACAGAAAACCCCCAACTCTTAGCATAGTTGTTGTAGAACGCATATGCATCCTCAAAATCATTGAATTCCTGACCGATAAAAGGAGAATTTTGAATAACGTTTGTGTCATCCTCCTGTACAGTAGGACCATCGCTGTCAGAGGTCATTGATTCTGGTATGATTTCAACATCGCTGTCTTCATTGTTGTTGATATTATCTCCCTCTTCCTCCATTGGTGTGCCGTCTTTTTGTTGTTTGTGACTTTGTGGGGAGGGGCTGTATCGGGCACAAAGCAGAGGTCTTTTTGCTGTTGTTGTAACTTTGAAAATTTTAATGGCCGTAGTTTTACTCGCCGGCCGCACGTAGAGATGGAGAAGAAAAAGGAGCACGAGAGAGAAAGAGGGGTTAATTAGTTAGTAATTAGTATTATTATATTATTAGTTGGAGAGATGTATCAAAGATGGTAATTGGGAATAGATAAATTGAAGAAAGAATTAATCAATTAATTAATTGTTGCAGATTGACAAGTGGCGGATTTTAATAGTTGGATAAAGAATGCAGCTAATTAGTTGGATAAAGAATGCAACTAATAAAGAATGCTTGAATTACCGGAAAAAAAAATTTACTGAAGAATGCTTGTGTGTTATATATGGAAGATTCAACTCCCAAATAGGGGATGCGGATTGTTTCCATGTTAATTATTACCCGTATACAATATTATTTTCCTTTTCCATGTGGAGGTTAATGAGGAAGATAAAGTTTCCAGTATCCTTATAGAGAAAAACACTCACCCGTTGGCGGTTGGCCCTATTTTAAGATCTGAATTTCTATTTATCGCCATAGGTTTTTAAATATTACGCCCTAAACCCCAGTGAAATGTCGATTTTACCCCAATCACTAAAAAATTGGTGACCATCGCTCTGCTGCTTTTGCGACTTCCGATCTCTGCTCCGCCAGTCGCCGCCAGCCAAGCTGGAAAAGGTAGAAGCAGAAGAAGGAAGCCCAAACCCACCTGCGTCGTCTCCTCTCTACATCGTGGAAGAAGCCTGTCACTCTCGCCGTCGAGCAAGAAAGAATAAGAAGGTCGGAAACCTGCTTTCAACCCGTTCACGCTGTACACCGGCTGATTTCCTTTGTCGTCGACCTCTTGCTTCCTTCCTTGTCGTGCTCCTTCCCTCTCAAGCTTCCAAGATTGCTAACTCCTTTTCTGCATTCACCATGAGCTCGTTCAGGACAGCAGTACAGGAGCTCGGTCAGGGGGCAGAAACCAGGAGCAATATGCAGAACGATAAGGACGGCAGGATGATGACAAAACGCAAAACCAGAAGTTCTTCCAAATTAATGGTTCGTCAATTTGCATTCTTTTTTTCCCCTTTTCTCCATCGTTGGCAGAACTGAATTAAGGCATTGTGTTTTTATTACGATGAATTCTTTGCCGGAGAAGGATGAATCTCGAGGAAAGAAAGGTAGAACTGAAGATGGTGTGATCCAGATTGATGGTGATTTGCAGGCAGATTGGAATGACTTAGTTAGGAAAGGCCGTACCAGATTTTCTTACTTGCAATTCGCCAAGAAGGTATGATAATCTAGCCTTCCAATTTTCCCCGCTTAGAACAAAATCAATTGTTTTTATCCTTATGTTTCTTCTTCTATTGTAGGGTGAAACAAAGTTTACACTTCCAACAGTTCTCAAGTACACTAGAGAGGAAGTGAACCTTGTCCACTACATATTTGCTAAGGATCTTCCAGAAAAGGAAGTCCTGGTCGAAACCATGATGCAATCCTATACACGACAGGTGTTGTGGTCCCTCTGCCCTAAGTCTAATGTCGCTGATGATGTAATTACAGCCATGGCTTGCCAATTGAGCCTGGCGGAAGTTTGGAGGGATGTTGGAGATGGAAGAGTAGTCTGTTATCTACCTGCTGAACTACAAGTATAGTCCCATTTACTTTATATATTTATTTTAGGTGCAATATTCTGTTTCTCCTATTAAATGTGTTATCTTAGGCTTTTAAATGAACCATGATCAGGAAATGGTGATTAACTATGGCATGACATCAAAAAAAGCTCTAGAGTGTTATGGTCCAAAGTTCTTGGCAAGAGCTCACACGTGCAGAAAGGTTTCTTCTTAACAAGTCCTTTCTTGTTGCATTGAAATATTCCTCAATTATTGTTTCTAGCTACTGTTTGAATTGGATATGCGAATAAATTAGATGCTCCATCAAGCTTTTGATATTTCTGTAAATTGTATTTTACAATGCTCAGCTGAGTTTGGTCTTTCTCGTCGTTATTTAGGTGTGTCTGCCCATGAAAGATGCAATGGACGGTGATGCAGTTCACTGGTATTTAGCTGTCATTATGCTGGATGACAAACAAGTCCATATTTTGGATTCGTATCCTTCTAAAAAGCGCCAAAGATCTCGTAGAAACGCAGTAGTAACTATGGTATGGTTTGACCTCCTGATCCGAATAATTTGTGTTTTCATCTATTTCGAATAAATTGATTACTGCTTATGCAGATCGAATTTCTTGATGGCTTGTTTGAGGATCTTTATCGGCAAGTGGAACCAACACTTGATCCACCTGTGCTGGAAAAATTTTCTTTGACAATTCCTTCAATTCCCGAACAACGTCACGAGTAAGAATTGTTCGTTGTGAATAAATTAGAAACATACTTAGATACCCACAACTCATATGCTGCATCTTATTTTATGTAGGTCTGATAGTGGCGTTTGGGTGTGCTCATGGATGATGGGTGCATCTTGGGATTCTTCTTATAATATATGGGTAAGCAAGAATTCTCCTACTTGGCCTTGAAGGAAAACAACCTTTCGAAACAGCTACTAAGCCTCATTGTCATTGTCAAACTGTTGCAGCCATGCGGAGATATAAGGAGAATGCAAATAGCTTTATATCTGGTCCAACAGCCTACAAATTACATAAGACATGTCGTCATCGAGGAATCAAATAGGAATGCATCGAGATTTGTTGCCCAGACTCGTAGGTACAAGGAAGAAAGCCAAAAGAGCGTAATCCAGAACTAGAAGATTCATAGGGAGATAGTGGTTCATTTCTCCTGCACTAGTATATTCTGGATATTGGTTCCTGCAAACGTTTATGAATTTTTTGGTTGATTAGTTGTCCTGCCAGTACTCTAGTTTTGTTTCCCTTTTCATTTTCGTTGAGAACCAAAACAATACCCTTGAATTGTTTGAATTGTCTGCTTGTCTCGTTCCCTTTTCATGTTCGTTGAGAACCAAAACAATACCCTTGAACCTCTTTGACTTTCTGACGATATTTAGTTGTCCTGCTATGATTTAAAGACAAATTAGTTGTAACTGACTTTAAGTTACAGGGTCTAGTTGGAGAACATACTATATATACATTATCAATCTACCACTATCTCTACCACTATCTCGATACGATCCAGCTCTGAGCAACTAAAAACACTTGTTATTGGGTTAAAATTTTGTTATTGAAGCTATTTGTTGGATCCAACATGGTTAGATTTGCTCCGATGAACGCATACATCTCCGGCGTCCTCCGGTGGCAAGATATGAGATATCCAAAGGGCAAAGCCAAGAATTGGCGCGTGTTTTGGGACGAAATAAAGATAAACAAAAAAGTCCACTGAACAGACGAAAGGTCAAAGTCGTCTTCTTATATACAATACCAGTCCCTTCAATCCCATAATGAAATCACGGCAGTTAAGGCTCATGCCTAGGCGCCTTCTTTAAGCCTTATCTCAGATGAACAAGCATCAGGAACAAAGCGACAAAAACGAGAACCAACATTCGGATTTAACAAAAAATAAAGGTAAACACCAAAACCAATCTAAAATGAATTCAATTGGGATCAAATTGATAGTAAAACCGACCGACTACCAATAAAAGTATAAATCCGACCGACTACCAATAAAACAAAACAAAAACTACTTTTCTAAAATGAATAAAATAAACTCTTTTGGCATTTTGAGCTGATTTTCCCCTTGAAATGTCTTTCATAAACGGCCCTTGCTTCATCAATAATTTGAGAGCGCCTTGTATTTGAGAGATCTTTGACTAAAATTATGGCCAAGGCTAGTCGACCTCTATTACTACAAACCTGCAGCAAATTTATAACATTACTCTTAACATGTTGATTTCGATTTGATAATGTAGAATCTCACGTGGATGGAATCATATTTAGAAGGAAAGGATTGTATTATACCGCCGTATACGAATTATCATCAGCCTCTCCGTGCAACATCCACTGACAGACGTAAAACCCGCACTCATAGCTACGTGGAAAAATAGCATTTATTATTGAAAATAAGATTGTGAATCGAAATGAAATAATCAAAATACTCAAAGAAATACTAACTCATCAATTTGCTTAGAAACGTATGGAGGAATTATGATTTGGAACTTATGCACTTTGGGCACTTCATAGGTTGATGGCTTGTCTGGAAATTCTTGAAGCATCTTGTAAAAGAATTTCAACTGTAACAACAAACTTAACCACGTAACTATTACAGTACAAAATTTAAAAAAAGAAAAGAAAATTGACTTACTAAATTTACACGAAGGGAATAGTTTGATCACCCACCATTCCTTGCACCCTTTTCTTACGATTTTCCAGCAAACCCAAATCAGTACGCAAAGAGTCCACTACATGCACTACCTTTTGGTCCATGAAAACCACAATAAGAAACCAATGGCGGTTCTCATCATTCATTGGCAAATATATCTGAAATAAATAAACAAGTAAATGATGACGAAAGAATGAATGGACTATACAGTAAAGGGCAAAACATTAAGAGAATATAGTACCCTGGAAAAATTGCTAATATTATTACACCATACCTTGGTGCATTCAAAGGTGCCGCAAAGATATAGGTTCTTATAATTTTCCACGGCTTTTTTTGGAGTCCAACCCATTTTCACAACCAAATCCTGGGTAGCAGTTCACATTCACTATTCAACTTTGGGAGAAAGAAAAAAGTAAACTTACTGTAAAGAGTTTTCCATAATTGTTGCTTACCTCAAAATTGGATGGAAGGTACCAAGGTCCATTTTTCCCCCAAGCCCTAACATCAACAGCTAATTTACAAGCTACAGCAGTCAAAATCTAAAATAAGCAAAACCAAAGATTAGTATAGCTAATATGTGGTCAAGTATGCCTTACCAAAACAGAACTACAAAATACTTACATAACCATGAAGTCACGTTTCTGGAAGCAAGTCCTTCAGTTCTAGACGACTTAAACTATGGCCAAAATTCTCAACAAGCCATTTATCATCTTTTAGACCATCACCAAAGATGAAACACGCAATGGAACGATCCTCATCATTATCTAACTCCATTATTGCAGTCACCGGAAATTCCACCTACGATTTGAATTTACCAAAACTTACAATACATAGGTACATCATAAACATTTTAAAATCACACAGGTGTAATTTCTTTAAATAAATTCTATATACCTTCCCCGATACATTTATATATTCCACAGCCGCATTTTTTGGCCTCTTGTGTGAATCATCGCCATCTGCGTCTGAGTCGGAATCTATATAAATAATTCCGTTTACGCTAGGTGTGAAAGGAACAACAGTGGGAGCTGAACTTCCAGATGCAGTCACCGGAAATTCCATCTACGATTTGAATTTAACAAAAATTACAATACATAGGTACATCATAAACACTTTAAAATGACACAAGTGCAAATTGTTTAAATAAATTCTATATACCTTCACTGACTCATTTAGATCTTCCGTGACCGCATATTTTTGCCTCTTGTGTGAACCATCGCCATCGCGATCTGAGTCTGGGTTTGAATCAATATAATAAACTCTTTTTACGGTAGGCGTGACAGGAACATCAGTGGGAGGTGAACTTCCAGATGCTTCATCAAGAATGCGTTTCGACAGCCTCTTTAGCACTTGAAATTCAGTATCAGTTTTCATTATCATTGCAGTCAAAGATTTAATCTTATCGTACAACTCATTGAACATCGTCTCCATGGCTCCAAAGGTAGTCGTTATGGATCCAACATATTTCTTAGTATCATGCCTCGACATGCTAAACAACAAAACAAAAGAAATAACATACATGAAACAAACAAAAGTCATAAACAAACAAAAGTCAAAGCGGCTTAAGGAGCGAATAAAGAACATACATGAAAGGAAAAGGGTTGTAAGAAAGGAACAGCACAAACGACCAAAAGAAAGAGCTATTTTAGTTGTTGCACTGTACCGAGATTTCTCCATTGCAATTAGTTTATCTCCCCGCCAGCACAGAAGAAAAGCCTTACTTTTGCTAAAGTCACCAGGGAAAACGGCAGGAGTTATTTTTTACAAGGTAAACTCTAGGCTGGCGTCCCTTTATATAGACCGCCAAACAAACCTAATTTATTAATACCATTACGTCCAAAAAAAGAATTCCTCTATTGACACCTAAACTGATCCAACTAAGGAAAGCAAGCCTATTAACAAGGAGTAGAGATTAAATCCCCACCAATGACAAGCCTATTTACAAGCATATTCCTCTATTGCGTTTGGCTCCACCACCGAATGAGGGAGGCCATCTCCACTGGACCAAAAAAAATTTCGGCCATCACTATTTATGCCCCGAACACAGACGTAATTACACATATCACATATGCATTGGAGAGAGAGAGAGAGAGAGACAGAGGAAATGATAGACCTTCAAGATATCGAAGTCTTCTTCCATCATAACAACATCTAAATCAGAGAATGCACGAGAGGGGCCTCAGTTAAGCAAGACCCAAACATATCCCTACTGTAGCAAGATAATGTGTACAAATTATATACAAGCTTTAATGGAAGGTTTGCGAATTCAAAGTACAAAAGAGAATTTGAAGACCTACCAACGATGCTCGGCAAACGCTTAACAACACCGAGTATCTGAATTTATCATCAATCAATCGGCATATCTAATCAAGAACCTGAAAATTATATGCAAGTTCAGCTAAGAGAAGCAAGCAAGACAAACAAAGAGGAGGCTCGACTGAAGGAAATTTCCCAAGCGAGAAGATCCAACATCACCTATTGGGCCTGGTACAAAAGGCCTGCTTAGTTTAGTTTTATGTTTTAATTTTACAAGAGCTCATTTTATAGTTATAAATAAAACAGTGGAAGTATATTGAATCAAAATCCTTGTTCAGCATGAATGGTGAAGATTGCTCATGGTAATGACCAGGACGCTGGTTCGACCCTCATACCATTACAAAATTTTTTTGTTTTCATCTACACCTATAGAACGACGCCGTTCTCCAGGCCACTTTCGATTCAGATACGAGCACAAAACGATGCCGTTTTTTCATGTATCGTCGTCTTCCCTAGCCCCCCAAATTCCCAATTATCCAGTTGCCGCCGTCGCCACCGTAATCCGACGGCCGTCTCTCTTCAT